CCCCAAAACCCCAAAACCCCAAAACCCCAAAACCCCAAAACCCCAAAAAAGAGGTGGAATATTGTAATAATAAATTATCAAACTCCAAAATAAAATGAGTTCTAAGAACAGTAGCATGTCTGCAACTGAAAAGGCTGATGGTCTCAGTAGGAAAAACACGAATAACGATCTTGAAAAGACCGCCCTTGAAAGTACTGGGAACCATGCTGAGGAGCTGAAGTCCCAAACTGATGCGAAATCTGAGGTTGAACTGCCTGTCCCTGAGGTAGAAGAAGACTTACTTGAAATAATCAATCGTATAAAGGTAGAGCGAGATAAAATTAAATAAAATCGTTAAGGAGGAAAAACTCATGATCGAAGACCTTATTCTCTTCAAAGATAAACTCGAGGATATCATTGGTAGTGAAGTTGACGATCTGATCAGATACATCTCAACTAAGCATAAGAGCAAGACTGACAAGTACTGTCTTAGGTGGGATGAGCTCTGGAAGATCATGGTCTTTGACTGGCCCATCTGGGAGAATGAAAACAGAAACCTCCAGAAAGTAGATGACTGGATCAGTCAAGACAACCAACAAGTTGAGAACCTCTATGAAGAATTTGACGAAGGAAAGTTCGAAAGAGAGCAAATAAAAGAAAAGGGAAGATTTACGTTAAAGCTAAAGCTTGATAAGCACCAAGAGAAAATCAATGATGTTTTCAGATCTTACTGTGAGAATATTCCTCAGAGCGAATCTGATAGTGATAGAGAGCCTGAAGCCCAAAACGTTAAAACTTCAAAGCCTAGCATTAATACTAAAAACGAATTTGTCAAAGATGATAAGTCTGAGATTGTCTCTAAAACTGAGCGTGATGCTCAAACTGAGAAGAATGAGGATGACACCGAGCTGAAGAGTATGAACAAGACTGATAAAGCAGCAACTGAAAAGATGAGCACAGTAGATAGGAAGAACTCAATGATCACTCTAAAGAAAAATGTAGATGAAAGCATGACTCTCCAGATCCCAATGGTCAAGGTGAACAAACTTGGAAAAATCATGAAGGATCTAGGATATCTCATAGACCTCTCATTCATCACTTATGATGACTATGTCAACCAAAGTTTTGAGAAGAAAAAGACTCATAAAGACCTTGTGAAGAGACTACAGAAATACTGCTGGAAGCGTATACATATTTCTGAATGTATTGATAAGGTCCAGAGAGGCTCTGCCAAGAGCTTTGGTGCAGGAATCCTCAAGCAAAGTAAGCATGATCCAAATTATAATGAAACAAAAGGGACAATCAAGACTGGCATGGACCAGACTGTTGGAAAATCTGAAAGACCAGAAACCGGCATCAGCCAGACATCTAGATCTTCTGATAAAACAAAGAAAACTACAAAGACAGAGAATGATGGCAAGACAGAGAATGATGGTAGAACTGAGAATGATGGAAGAACATCGAAATCTGGAGACTCTGATAATGAAAGCATGGGTAAGACTTCAATGTCTCAAACCAGCAAGGATGCAACCACTGTGAAAGGGACAGAAAAGAAGGAAGCAAAAGAGAGTACTATTATATTTGAAGATGAAGCTTTTAAGAAGGAAAAGTTCATTAAAGAACTTGATGTTAACCTATTCATTGGATATTTAACAGATTTCTATGAAGAAGAGCAAGATATACTTATCCCATCCTCAGATCATTTTGATACAAGTAAGTCATATTAATCTGAATGGTGACTTATTTATATAGACATCGATGAAAGAGCAGAAGATGCATTCAGAGCAGCAACTGATCTCAACTATGACCCTTTCAAAGAGAAACTTCAGAGGACTTTGGAGCAATATGAAGCTGCTATGGACGATCCTGAAGGTTTCAGAAATCCTCAGGAAAGGGACATTGCTGCTAAAGTAGTCAATGACCTCAGAAATCAGCTTCTCAACATTGACAAAATCAGCAAGAAAGCTGAGACTGAGAGAGACATGAAGAGTATGGTAAAATCTGTGTCTACTTCTATTGAAGATAGGAGAATCAGAGGTCTCAGAGAAATCTTTGGATTCTATGCTCAGCAGCATCTCCCTCAAGGACTTGAATTCGGAGATATTGAGAACAAAAAGAATATTCTAGATCTAGGAGAATTTCTGATTTTCACTAAGGACTTCCAGTTGCCATTGAACAAGAAGAAAATAATTGAAATTTTCAAAAAGACTAGTTCATTAAGGCAACTCCCAGTAAATTTCGAAGAATTTCTAGAAGTTATTAGGAAAATTGGAGTTGAGATGAATAACGAGAAGATCATGGCAATCAAGAAAAGGCTTAAGGAAATAAAAAAATTGGAGAAAGAGAAACTAGCCAAAAAGCCGCCTGTTGAAGAAACCAAGGATGACCCCACAACTCAGAAGGATGGAGAAACTACAGAGAAGGTTGATGACACTACACACAAAGATGGAACAACCTCTAAGAATGAAGATGAAACTTCCAAGCCGAATGAGTCCAAAACAGAGACTTTCACTTCGAAGAAAGAGAAAAATGATGGTGAAACCTCTGATGGCAAAAGTAAGACTATTCAAGAGAGTAGAAAGTCTATCGGTCAGACTTCCAAATCAGGCGTCGATTCTGAAGATGATTCAGACTCTGAAAGTAAGTCTAAGACTACTAAGAAGACGAAGAAGACTAGCAGGACTTCGAAAAGTGGAAAAGATACAGAAAATGAATCTGATAGTGGCAGTGAATCCCCTATGACTACTAAAAGTAAGAACAAGAGTGTTCGGTTTGGCACTAATGGTGACAGGAGGAAGTCTCAAATAGAGCACTCAGAGATAGATGAAATGAGATCGCTGAAGCTCAGAGAAGATCCTCTAAATGCTTCTAAAATGCAGAGACTAGATGAAAACCTCGATCCTATTCAAATAGAGAAGGATCGAATTGAAAATGAACTCGAAAAGTTCACCAGCAAGTCAGTCGAGATGTGCCAAGAAGATATCATGAACTACCTTGAATGTCATGATCCTCAGAAGTTTAGGAAGAGGGCTAAGGGAGTTCAAAATGTTCCTTTTGCAATGAAGGACTTTTGATACAGAATTTCTAAAAAAGAGATTGAGACTTCGAAACGAAACACTAAGCTCAGCGCCGCCCAGATAAAGGAGAAAATGGAAGAAATGAAAAGGAGAAGAGAGGAAGTGAAGAAAAGAAACAAGATTGAACGCGAAGCCATCAAAGCTAAGGAGAAAATGCTTGAAGAGAGGAAAAAGAAAGCTAACAGATTCGGCCAAATTAACCTTGCAAAGGCTCTTAAGAAGGCTAACCCTGATGATGACGGAATCAGTTCTATTAATGGAGGCCAGTTCACTCAGAGTCCATCGAATAAGCTTTCCTATAGAGTGAGGAAGAATAAGCAGAAGGGGCTACCTGAGGAGGAGGGGATGAATACTAAAATCACATTGGATTTATTACAGAAACTGCATTATAAAGATATCCAACAATCAATGCCTGATGATTTCAAGCCTGAAAAATATGTAACTGACGGCGATGAAGACGAGGAAGATGAGTCTGTCTTTGATTACTTTTTCCCAGGAAGCAAGAAGAAAAAGCCAAAGAAAGATGCCAAAGGAAATAACTACTCTGAAAAGATTATGAACATGAAAAGAGAACTTGGAGATACTAAAAAGAAGGGACAAGATGTTATGTTTGAAGAGCCAGATTCTACATATAAATCAGATAAAGAGAGCAGAAAGACTAAGACGAACAGATCTATCCAGCCTTCTAACCCAGGACAGGGAAAGAAAATTCATAGAAGAGCTGAAAGCCAAGTGTCTCTACATTCTGGAGCAACCCAAGACTTGCTCAAAACACCTAAAGGTCAACTTACTACTAGAAGGTCTGTGAAGAAGAATCTAAATTCGATTAAAGGAGTCTCTAAAAAGCATGTGCCAGGCTACAACACATCTCGAGGAGGAAATGCTAAGCGTATTCCAAACGGTAGAAGTAAATCCAAGGAAAAGCTACACAAATCTAACAGGAAATCTCACATCATGGGAAAGATTGCTAAAATTGAAGACATGAGGAAGAAGCAAGAAAAAAATAACCTTGAAAGAGCAATGAAGATACATAACAACCAAATGAGGAGGTCTCAAAAATATCTTAAATAATTTCAATATTCAGTATGGATACTGGGGTTTTGGGGTTTTGGGGTTTTGGGGTTTTGGGGTTTTGGGGTTTTGGGG